GATAGATAGATAGATAGATAGATAGATAGATAGATAGATAGATAGATGATAGATAGATTGTATCCAATACAGACACAATGGCTTAGTGGCTAAGACGCTGAGCTTGTTGATCAGAAAGGTTGGCAGGTCAGTGGTTCAAATCCCTAGCGCCACGTAACGGAATGAGCTCCCGTTCCTTGTCCCAGCTTCTGCCAACCTAGCAGTTCAAAAGCATGTAAAAATGTAAGTAGAAAAATAGGGACCCATTTGTTTGGAAGGTAGGAGCGTTCAGTGTGCCTTCAGCATTTAGTCCTGCCGGCCACCTGACCACGGAGACGTCTTTGGACAGCACTGGCTCTTCGGCTTTGTAATGGAGATGAGTGCCGCCCCCTAGAGCCGGAAACAGCTAGCATGGATGTGCAAGGGGAACCTTTACCTTTATGTGTAGCAAAAGCACTTACTTATATACCACTTTATCGTGCTTGTACAGCCCTCTCTAAGTGGTTTACAAAGTCAGCCTCTTGCCCCCAATAATCTGGGTCCTCATTTTACCAACCTCAGAAGGATGGAAGGCTGAGTTAATCGTGAGCCAGTGAGAATCAAACTGCCGGTAGTCAGCAGAATTAGTCTGCAATACTGTATTCTAACCACTGTGCCACCAGGGATCTTTTGTGTCACCATGGCTGTATGTATGGCTATATGTATGGCTGTATGTATGGCTGTATGTATGTATGTATGTATATCAAATGTCTTAACCTCCCATCTTCCTCAAAGTGGGATTGCATATTTCTTCCAATATTCCAAATAGATCAAAATTCCTGTTGTTTCTGAATGGTAGTGCAGAGGTTCCTATTTTTCCCACAGACTCACGTGCATGCTCAAATCCAGCATTCATGCGCTTGTAAAGCCGGTATCGCCATTCCCAGGCCTTCAGTTGTTTCTCTTTTTCTGAACTTTCTGCGTTGGGCACCTCATTCACCACCTGAGCGGTGAGATCGTTCACCCGCTGTTCCGCTTCCCGAACTAGGGTTGCCAGATGTAAAGACCGGCTCTCCAGGCTTACAACTTAAGAGAAAAAAAAGAAGACGAAAAAGTTAAAGGGGGAAAAAAGGAAGAAGAGAGAAGGAACAATCCTCTTGTGGATGACCCGGAGCGTAACACAAACATCACAAAATCCAAAATGTAAATAAATGTCCTTTAATGCCTCCAACTTGGCCCCACTGTTCAATAATACTCAACTGGAGATAAAACTTATTCAAAAATAGTCTTCAAAAGAAAGCAATACAGTCCGAACTTAATGAGCAGATAGAGGTAAAATAAAAACTAAAACAAATTACAATGAAGGAATTTCTGCAACGGACCAGAATAAGTAATTACCAACTTCAAGGAGATAACAAGGCACAGTCTGTTGGAAGGATGCCAACCAAGATAACTTCAGCCCAAAATAACACACGCTTTGCTTCTGGCAATGCTGTGTTTTAATCATCTCTCTTATATACTAGTCTCCCCAGCTGCAAGCAAAGAGTGGGATCATGGCCACTTCCTCTCTCGTAAGCCAAGTTGTTTCCTTCTCCGTTCCTCCCTGCATGTCTTGGGATGAAGATGGGATGGGTCTCGTTCTTTCTCTGACTGCCCAGCCAGTCTCTGGCCTTCCCCAACCTCCTCCCCAACTTCTGGAGCCACACCTCCACTCCCTGTCAGCTGTTCCTCCTCTCCATCAGAGTCTGATTCTAACAAGGGCATGACACTTCTCTACATATTGGAAATGATTCTCTGTGGCAAGGGCCTTCAAACTTGGCAAGTTTAAGACTTGTGGACTTCAACTCCTAGAATTCCTGAGCTAACATGATTGGAGGAGGAATTCTGGGAGTTGAAGTCCACAAAGCTGTCAAGTTTGAAGACCCCCTGCGCTACGGCTTTAGACCAGGCTCTCCCAACCTTGGCCAACACAACTGGCTGGGGAATTCTGAGAACTGAAGTTCACACATCTTAAAGTGGCCAAAGTTGGGAAATTCTGCTTTAGACCTCAAGAATGGCCCGTTCCTAGCAATTCTACAAACTCAAGTCATTTTCCTCAATCCTTATTTCCTAAGTAATACTGGGGAGATCATCTAAGATTCAAATTTTTAGATAAAACCAGAGCTGCTTCTCCTGGTTTCTTTTTCTTGCAGATTTAGAGACAAAGTTTGTGGGCAGAATCTTTGGTCCATCTCTGGTCAGTCCAAACCACAAGATCTGCTTTCTAATTCAAAACAAGTTCTTGAATAAGAAGCTGTAAATGTACTCTAAACATTACTACGCATTAATGATGATAAGAAGAAGAAGAAATGGAGGAGGTGGGGAAAGAAAAGGAGAAGGGATTCCCGATCAGAAAAGAGTTGCTACGATTTATTTATTGAGCAGAAGAATGAAACTTGTAACTGGAACATACAGCAGTTGTGATACACTTTTTGTTCTGTTCTATTTCTACTCTATTCTATACTCTGTTCTGTTCTGTTCTGTTTTCTATTCTATTCTGTTCTGTTCTATTTTTATTCTAGTCTCTATTCCATTCTCTATTCTATTTTCTCTTCCTTCCCTTCTCCGAAATACAGCATTGAAAAAAGGAACCTTTCTTCCTACCAGAATTAGCACTAAGCAACATGAAAGCTTTTGCACTCCTCTACTAAATTACAATAACAAAAAAAAAAAAATCCCTAATGGATTTGATTTTTAATCTTTTAAAATCCGCATCATCATCATTTGTAATTGCATGCAACTATCACAACGGATCCTCCTCCATTAACCTATTCTAGTAGGTTTCATGTTTTGTTTCTGTGTCATCACGTTCTACTCCTAGAGTTGGTTATGCAAGATTCCTTTCTATAGCCGCATGCAGGGTCCACATTCCAACCCACTCCAACTGATGGGGCCTTTATTAAGCCTCCAAAGACACCTCTGAAGTGAGGAAAAGATCACTGAAAGGGGTATTGAAGGTTCAAGAGAGTGAAGAAGAGATAGAGGTAGAAGAAATACTTAAACATGAACGAGATAAGAAGATACAAGATCCCATGGGGGGAGTATGGGAGACGTGCCAAGAAGTCAACAAGAGTTGAGATACAAAAACAGACAAGAGATGAGGGATAAATGCAGAATACTGTTTAACAGAGGAGCTATACCATCAAGAATTAATATAAAGATGGAAATTAGAAATGGGGAAAAGATCACCTTTTTGATTTGGGAGCTATTCTATTAGCGGGTAGAAAATAGTAGCAGAAATTAGAAATCTGGATATGTAAACATAGATGTCTAATGGAATAATGAACATGGAATAATTAAGATAAGCAAACCTTAGGATTATTTGGAGGTTAATTGGATATAAATGGGATGATGTTTATAGATGTTTGATATTATTAATTGATTACAGATAAAATTGAACAGAAGGTCTAATCAAATAATATAAAATTCATAACAAGGATAAGTGAAGATGAACAGATATTGAGAATAATAGTTATAACTATTGTGTGTATAAGAATTATCGGTATTCAATAAAGAATGTACCCAGACGGTATACTGTTACTGTGAATATAGAAATCCTATACATAACCAGGAAAATTGTACAATAAAGTAATTTTTAAAAAAGTAAGCCTCCGTGTATTGAGATTTGCCAACATCAGAACTGTGATGACCCAGGATGTGGCACAAGGACAACACAGTCAGATAATCAGTCTCTTTATTAGTTCTAACTTTCCCCGCAATAGGCTGGAGAAAAACTCGCCTTTGGCTGCAGGGAATCAAGTCCAAAACGTGGTCAACAAAAACTGTAACTATAAGTCCAATCAAGGCAAGATGAGGTAATTAGTCTGGCAGGGCAAGAGAAGGAATTCCAGATGTGAAGGAATGGCAGGAATTCAACCCAGTTGGGAGGAATGCCAGGAACTTAGATAACCAAAGTCAACACAAGATAAACTCACGTTTGTTCCCAGAAGACGCCGCACTCAGCTTGCATCTCTTTTAAACTCTCATTCCCAGGTGTGGCTAGTGAAGGGAATCAGGGCCCTTTCCTCCCCCATAAGCCATGCAACCCATGTTGCTCTCTTCTCCATTCCTCCCTGCATGCCCTAGGATGAAGAGGGGGCGGGCCTGGTTCTTCTTCTGAACTCCTTCTCCCTTGTTCTACCACTTCCCTACTCTGCCCAGCTGGACTTTGCCTTTCCCCAGTTTCTTCCACAGCCAACAGAGCCACACTCCCACTCCCTATCAGCTGTTCCTCTTCCTCCTTGGATTCAGTCTCTGACAGGGGCATGACAAGAATGTAGAACCTCAACTGGGCATTGGGTGAAGCATTTCCAGGTAGGAACATATGACTCACCACACAAGAGATCACCAGATTTTGGTTTTATTGCCTCTTTTTTGAGCAGTCGCGTATAGGAAAGGTGCTAAGGGGCTCACCGCTAAAGTCTTTGCAAGCAGTCTGTGTGAGGTACCTGCCCCTTGCTCAACCTGCATGAAGAGGGGGAGACCCCCACTGAGGTTTTGAAAACAGAGGTTTTATTCCATGGAATCTCTTCGTTTGCCTGACAGGCAAGAACAGAAAAGAAAAGTCACACCTCTTTCAGAGCTCCCTACATCCTTTCGCTGAGCTGCCATTATTACCCATGCTGACAGCTAGGCCCCTGCCTACTCTCTCCGTGGGCCACCCAGCAAGAAGACAAGTCGAGCGTTGCTTCCAGCACAACCCCTTTAGAGAGTGTGTACAAGAACCCGAGGCCCAATGTCACACTGCCAGGACAGGAAGGCTACAGAGTGCTTATTCAAAGTCACACCTCCTTGTGTTCCCATTCAGTCGGAGGCTTTAACAGAAAAAAAGGGCATTCTGCTCCTGACCTTAATTGTGAGATGCCAGTTTCCTCACTCACAAACAACCAGAGCTGAAAATTTTGGAAGACAAACAGCCAGAATGCAGAATGACACAGTAACCGAGTTGGAAGGAACATTCTAATCGGTCTTCTAATCAACTTTCTACTCAAACAGGAGACCCTCTACTATTCTGGAAAATTGTCTCTCCAATCTCTTCTTCAACACCTCCAGGGTTGGAGCATCCATGGGAGTAAGCCATCCCACTGATTAATTGTTCTCACTGTCAGGAAATTTCTTCTTCTTAGTTTTAGGTTGGATCTCCTTTGATAAGTTTCCATCTCTTACTTCTTGCCCCGCTTTGAGGTGCTTTGGAGAATAGGTTGAACCTCTCTTCTTTGTGGCAGCCCCTCAAATATTGGAAGACTGCTATCTTGTCATCCCTATTCCTTCTCTTTGTTAGAGTAGACCTATCCAGTTCCTGCAACCATTTACCGTACGTTTAAGCCTCTAAAATCTTCATCATCTGTTGCTCTTCTCTGAGTTCCTCATTAATTAAGTCAATAATGACTCCGCCTCATTGTTCTCTTCTTCCACCTGAAATCAGTTCTATTTGGGATCCAATCTGGTCCCCCAAACCAGAGATTTAGTCTTCAAGTTTTTGGGCTATCGGGGAACTTCTCTCTCACCTGATTCTGATGAGAGAAAAGTTTCCAGAGGATGACTCCGGCACAAGTTCAAAAGCTCAGAAGACTAAATCTCTGGTTCCAGTGACTGACCCAGATTGGGTCCTGTAATATTATCCTGGGATGCATATATTTGCCTTCATTCATCAGTTCTATTCATGATGAGCCCTTAAGGTCCAATGAAGGCATTCATCAAGTGCTGGATTTCAGAACTATAATCAACAAAGCTGGAATTTTGCTGGATGAATTTGCTCACGGTAAGTAACAACCAAACACGTTGAGTTTCCTTCAATGTTTGCTCAAAGCAGCATCTCAAACACCCCATCAGATTCAGAATCAAAATTTTCAGGTCATGTGTTCCTCATGCACTAGCTTTCAGTTGGAACGGCAGGATTTAAATTGATTGAATCACATCTCATCCAAGAAAGCATCTCTATATCTTTCATGATTGCATGGTTCAAATCAATTCTCCTCCGAACATCTTGCAACTATGAAAAATATGGGAGAATGTAGTTCGGGCTGCATCTGTAATAATTCACAGGGGCATCTAAATGATGATATGGGGGCATTTAAATGTTATTGTGATAGCTTTGGCTGCTTAGATCTTCTCCCACAGAATTACAGCTGTAAATGTTGGCTATTCTCAGAGTTCAAAGAACAGAATTTCCACAGTTCAGGTTATTGAGTAGTTAGAAGAAGATAATTTCTAGAATAGCTATAAGAATGAGAGATCCTTGGTTGGTTCTGAACTTGGCTGGCTTCTTGCAGATGTTTCATTACCCAAACTAGGTAACATCATCAGTGCTAGAAGAGAATGGGGTTTACATATTTGTGGCTTACCCTGTGCTCCTACCAACACTGACAAAGAAAACCACTAGTATATAAAATAAGAGCAAACCCAACTCCCTTCTAGCTCTGATGATTCTACTTAGCTGGGTCATGAAACGCCTGCATAAGTACAACCAAGCTCAGAGCACCAAGGAGCCCATAGTCTCTTCCTCCTCTCTTCCTCCTCCACTCTGCAACCCCCCCTCCATTCTAGTACCAAGAATGTAGTAGATGATGTTGGGGTAATGAAACATCTGCAAGGAGACAACCAAGTTCAGCGCCAAGGACCCCCTCATTTCCACTCCGAGCGACAGATATTCTCCATTATTGTTACTCTTGAGAAAGAGCTCGGAAGAGGGCGAAGGATCGTAAGAGTTTCCGACTTACAGTGAGGACTTTCCTTGGCTCCAGCCAGCAAGAGGGTCTTCGCAATGGGTGAGTTGTTGGTCATGATGGCGATATCTAGCGGCAGGAGACCTTCACTATTAGGAGTATTAAGATCCAGCTCCTCCAGACTGTATTGCTTGAGTAGCTCTTGCACCTTGTCCAGGTCTTGCAACTCAACAGCCTCAAAGAGAGCAGCATTGCCTTGAAACTGCAGAGAGGAACAAAGTCACGGCTAGATTTGAGCATCACCTGGAATTCTGCAGGCCTGACTTTGTTTTTAGCATATACATCTACACGTTCACAGGGACGGGGAAAAGGAAGGTGGAACCGGTCACTTCCAAAGCTAGCTCTTGCAGTTTACCGTATGGCTACTTCCTCACTTGCAACCCACACACTACATTGACTGTACAGGTAACCCTTGATTTACAACAATTCATTTAGTGACCATTCAAAGTTACAATGCCACTGGGAAAAGGGACATTTTTTACACAAACCATTGCAATATACCCGTGCTCAAGTGATCAAAATTCAGATGTGTGACAAGTGGTTCATATTTATGGCAGTTGTAGTGTCCCAGGGTCACATGATCCCTTTTGCGACCATCTGATGAGCAAACTCAATGGGGAATCTGGATTTACTTAACAACTGTGTTACTAACTTAGCACCAGCAGTGATTCACTTAACAACGATGGCAAGAAAGGTCGTGAAATGGGACACAAAGCTCACTTCACAACTGTTCTGCTTAGCAACTGGAGTTTTGGGCTCAGTTGTGGTCATAAGTCGAGGACTGGCTTGTATCCACCACATCATTTGGAGCATTCATTCATTCATATCGTCACTTGCAATTCGCAATACGTTGGCCGTAGTCATCGCCTCATGTGGAGCATTGAGCAACCATGCACTGAACTGCAAGCCACGAATGTGGCGAAGCACGAAAACCTCACTCAAGGGTCGAGCAGCTCCATCAGCTTACTAAGTGTTTTTAAACCTTGGCAAATTTCAAATATGTGGACTTCAACTCCCAGAATACCCCGTCAAACAAGGGAATTCTTTGGCTGGGAAATTCTTTTTCCTAGCCAGCAAGGGAAAGTTTGACCGCAATGGAATTTGCCTCTCTCATTCTCATGAAACAAACTCTTTCTCATGGCATTTGATAAAAGTTTGGCTTCTCCCCTCTTCTCATGGCCACCACCGGGTACCATGAACCAGGAAACGGGGAGCTAAGGTTGATTCCAAGAGGAACATTCCATGAACGAAACACTGAGATGGGGTCAGATGTAAGCAACCAGAATCAATCCTGAGCAGCTTCAAGCTTTTCCCACTGCACCATAACTTACTGCACCTGTGTACGGTTTGCCAATTGCACCGTGGCAGATAGGACAGTGCTACAGAGGTTAATGTCATTGCCCAGAGGATCATGGGTTGCCCTCTCCCCTCTTTGGAAGAGCTTTATAGCTCCCGCTGCCTTAAGAAAGTTCAAAACATTCTCAAAGATCCATCTCATCCTGGGCACCCTTTTTTTTTTTGAACTATTACCATCTAACAGATGGTATAGGATAATAAAAACAAGGACAAACATGCTGAAAAACAGCTTCTATCCCAGGGCAGTAGCTCCATTGAATTCTACTGTGTAGTGCAATATTAATGCAACATCAGGGGTTTTCAATTCAATGTATGGAATGTGAAGGATGTGTGTTTGTGTTTATTTTCATAGTCATAATGTACACTGAAGATGGTATTTAATTTTGTTGTACGAGGTGCAATGACAATAAAGTAAACTAAACTAACTAACTGAAGCTTGTTCCAGAATAGTTCATTTGTCTCTGTTACAAGAATCTGTATATATGTATGGAAGAGAGCTGATGTTTTTATGTTTTGTTTGTTTTGTTTGTTTTTAAAAAAACAATAAAATTGTTTTTTTTTAAAAAGAATCTCATCAGACTATCTGCCTACCCTTCGGAACGACCAGATGAAGCTTCATGGATTTCGGGGGGAGGCCATGTTATGCCATTTGTAACTATGCAAGGATTCAAAGCTAGAGCCTCGCTTGACCCCTCCCTCCAGCCTAGCTGGCAATTCCCCAATATCTGGAATGTTGTGTTTCTTTCACCCCCCCTTTTTATTTTGGAATAAGAAGCCACGAACCTTCTAAAAATCCACTGAGCTACTCACTCAGACCAGATAGGAAAATCTATTTACCAGGTAGGATTTTCGCTGTTTCTCCTTTTCAGCTTTCCCGGCTAAGTTTCCTTCATCAAATGACATGTAGTTAACTCTGAATTTTCCAGAGAGATTCCGATAAAGCCTCTTGGCAGCATTTGGGGATGATGGTCCCGCCTGCTTTCGAGCGTGGGCCAACTGCAAATCTCTTAGTTGCTGGGTCATTTTTGGTGCGGAAGACCTATGAAACAACAACAACAACAAAGGGAGAATGCTAAATTAAATATCTGACACACAAAAAATGACAATCACAAGTTGCAGGTGAAAATTGCTAAAGTTTGTTAGCAAAAAGTAGGTTTGTTAGCAGAGTGGTGAATAAATGCTTTGTCAACTCAAAAGTTTGCTACAGCATTAGATG